AGTATGCTAATTTTGTCTTGACTGTAAATTGCAGGTATCGGAATATCAGTGCGCCCTCTGCTAATAATCCACAGTATTTCAATTTTGTTGGTGTTGATTTTTGCACCTGAAATTTTACCGTAACTCTCAAAAGCTGTTAGACATTCTAAAATTGAGTCATCAGCCAATGCGAGCGTCGTATCATCAGCATGCTGATACATAAGAGATGACGTGTTTGTGTTTGGTATTGGAATACCTTTTATAAGGAGATTAGAATTAATTAAAATATTAAGAGGCTCAATCGATAAAAGATAGAGCATCGCCGACAGAGGGCAGCCTTGTCGCACACTCCGAGATACTGAAAAGAGTTCAGATAAAAAGCCATTACATTTTACTATACTGTTTACATCGTGGTATAGAATTGATACCCATTTGACAAAATTTTCGGCAAAATTAAATGCCTTTAAAGTATTGATCAAATAATTGTTGATCAACCCGATCAAACGCTTTCATTTGATCTATTTTTTAAAACAATTCCTTGTTTATTCTTTTCATTGACATAGGTGATGACGTCACGGATACACAGTATATTATCTGCAATATCGTGGCCTGATACACAACAACTTTTGTCGTCAGAAATAATTGAACTAAGAACATTACGTAGACGAAACGCTAACAACTTTGAAATAAGTTTGTAATCTACGTTTAAAAGCGAAATCGGACGCCAGTTAGCAATAAAACGTTTATCACAATCTTTCTTTGGAATTACTGTAATGACGCTTGTGCGTAAACTATGGGGCAATATGTTGTTTTCATAAATGAGATTTGTTATATCCGTGAAGTCATCACAAATGTTCAACCAGAAACATTTATACCACTCTACGGTCAGACCGTCAATACCTGGCGATTTATCGTTTACAATTTTAGAGAGTACCAGACTTAATTCTTCATTAGTTATTTCTCTGTCTAAAGTAGTTTTGTCCTCATTTGAGAGTTTATTTTCAATTGAATTAAGCAGAAAGGACGGATCGCTTACTGTGAGATCTTTTTCGAAATTTTCTTTGTAGAAGTCTGCAACATATGGGATAATTGTATCGGATGTGGACAAAATCTGTCCATGATCGTCCACAATGCATTTCAGTGTTTTTTTCTCTTGTTTACATTTTTCAAGTGTCAAAAAATATTTAGTATTTTTTTCACCCTCTTCTATAATTTGTGCTTTGCTGCGGATAGCGGCACCTTTTGTTTCGTTTACAATGATGTTGTTTAGTTCATCCTGTAGACGTGTTGCGCGTGTCAAACAGTAGTCAGGATATTTTGACGCTTTAGCGTATTCATATTTAATTTTTTTCTCTAATGATGTTTTTAGTTTTCGACTGGCTTTGGCTTTTTCCCAGCAATATTACAGGAAATGCGTTTAATTTCCCATTTAAGATGTCCCCACCATTCTATTTTATTTTGCAGGTAGATACCATCTTTTCGGGAATTGATAATGAGAGTTTTAATTTCGTGTACGTATATTTGGTATTTTAATAGACAGTTGTTAAAGTGCCAGAGACCCGGTCCGCGCCGAGTTTTAGAAAAATCAAAAGTCAATTTAATTGCATCGTGATCGCTAAAAGGAAATGCAATTATTTTGCTGGAAGTACAGCAGTGTAATTTCTCAGCTGATACCAGACAGTAATCGATTCGGCTTTGGCATAATTGCTGGTCAATAACCCTCCGCCATGTGAATTCACACTGAGATGCATGCTGAGCTCTCCAAATAACAATCAAGGATTTTTGTTATAAAAATGTTTTTAAATAGTCTCTAGAACGATCTTTATTATACAATGTACCAGATTTATAGAGGTCTTGATTTAAATCTCCAATTATAATGTTTGGGCGATCGTTACACAAATAATGGCCAATGTGTTCAAAAAAGTGTCGTCTTTCTGTCATATTGTTGGGGGCATACACATTAATCAAATTAATATAATTATGATCAATATCCAGTGTGACTTGGAGTAGCCTTTCTAGAAAAGTGAGACTCTCGCTACAATCTGTCACAGTTATACCGGATGTTTCCGATACAAATAAGGCAACACCACGCATACCACGGTCACACTGGTTTCTTGTAGTGCGACAACACTAAATTTATGAAGTTTACAATACTGTATTGTATCTGATAGTTTTGTCTGATTTCTTAGACCGTTAATATTGATAGATACCAGTGTGACCATAATGGCGTATATGAAAAGTGGTAATTTTAACAAAATCATTGTTCAGGTGTCGTTAATTACCTCTCCTGATATGACCTGGTCTGTGATGGCATCTTTCGGTTTAAACTTGGTATGTGATTGTTCAATGTTCAGTTTTGGTGCTATTTTTTCCTTCGATGACTCTGTGGAGTACCTGCCTCGTTTTCAGTAGATGAATCGTGCTGCCGTTTGACGGTTGTAGACAACTTTGATTTGTTAGACTGTTTTTTGGTTACTCTCTTTCTTTGGTCGTCTTTGACAGTTGTTTCATTGTCTGAAAGGTGGAGATTGTGAGATGCCAAGTCCGGACGGCTGCAATCAGCAGCCTCTTCCGCATTTTCAAACCCGAGATCTTCCGTTTCGTCCATTCCGTCGCTGTCATATTCGTTATCAGGTTTTCTAGCATTCTCATCGCCGGTGTCATTCGTTCTCTTTAAACTTGTCTTCATTGGTGTTCCATTATTCTCCTCGTTGGATTCGAATTCCCCAACGACTGCTTTCTTTTCCGTGAAGTCTCTAACAGAATTATAACAATGACGTGCGATGTGACCATTTTCTCCACATTTAAAGCACTTGCGATTTTCACAGATTCTCTCTGTATGACCTAGTTGTTTGCAGATTTTCCACATATAACTAGGACAGTCGTGAATAACGTGGCTTTCACTTAAACAATTGTAACACACACTATGCTTATTGTTATGTAATTAACGAGTGTATGGCCCATTGTCTTCAAACTTGATAGCATTTGGCAATGACTTCACACTTGCAGGGAATTCAACCCGAACAAAGTGAGTACCATTTTCAACAGAGGGGGCCTCTCGGTAGTATTTGTGCAACACTGGGCTTCTAATTGTGCATCCAAATTGTTCCAAACGGCATGTAATTACTTCATCCTGAATATAAGCAGGAACGTTGAAAAACGATACTGTCAGGAAGTTAAGGCTCACGTCATGCACTTCACACTCCACACCATTAATGGCAATGTCTTGTTCGAGTAATAGCTCAACAGACTCGGTAGAAACAAGACTTATTTGCCAAACACCATTAATATTTATACATAACACAGATTCAGTTTCACATGCTCCATGTACAGCCTCAATGACATCTAAAGCCTTAAAATTACAATCAACAATGGTTACCGTGTTGTCTTTTGTGGCAGGTGGTCGCCGAGTGCCTTGAGCACGAGGGGCGGCCATAATGGCCTTACCTCTCGTGCAGCGCTGGAAGAAAACACTGGTCACAGAAGGCCTTTCTTCAGTACCACGAAATAAAAGTGAAAAACGTCTTATGGTGGTAGAACAGCACTACAAATCACTGCGATTAACACAGGATGGCATTCACGTAGCACGGAGATCAGCATATGCTGGAGCACCAGTTGAACACGTCCTACTCGGACAAGAACTGGTGCATTCTGCAATGGTTTGGCATTAGGCTTAATATTCGTTGGAATTGGGTGTCATTTAATGCATCGGCTAGGCAAAAATTCCCGGAAAAACTTAGTATGTACGGTGATATAAAAATGTTGATGAGCCTACTGGACGTGGTATTCCCAGCCGGTCTTCTATGCAAGTACTAACCATGCCTGATGTAGCTCAACTTGATTGACAGTGATTGACTGGTGTATTCTTCAATGGTTTGGTAGTAGGCTGAATGTTTGTCGGAATTGGATGTCATTTAATGTTTCGGTCAGGCAAAAAATGCTGGGAAAAAGTTAGTATGTACGATAGAACAAAAATTTGGATGAGCCTGCTGCACGTGGTATGCACAGCCGGTCTCCCATGCAAGAACTAACCACGCCCGATGCAGCTTACCTTCAGTAATCAGACGGGAACTGGTGTATTATGCAATGGTTTGGCAGTAGTCTGAATGTTCGTCAGAATTGGATGTCATTTAATGCTTTGGCTAGGCAAAAAATCCCGGGAAAATGTTAGTATGTACGGTGGAATAAAAATGTAGATCAGCCTACTGCGCATGGTATTCCCAGCCGGTCTCCCATGCAAGTACTAACCACGACCGATGCAGCTTAACTTCAGTGATCGGACGAGAACTGGTGTATTCTGCAATAGTTTGGCAGAAGGCTGAATATGTGTCGGAATTGGATGTCATTTAATGCTTCGGCTAGGCCAAAAATCCTTGAAAAAAGTTACTATGTATGATGGAATAAGAATGTAGATGAGCCTCCTGCACGTGATATTTCCAGCCAGTCTCCCATGCAAGTACTGACCACGCCCGATGCAGCTTAACTTCAGTGATTGGACGAAAACAGGTACATCCTGCAGTGGTTTGGCAGTAGGCTGAATATTCGTCAGAATTGGATGTCATTTAATGCTTCGGCTAGGCAGAAAATCTCGGGAAAAAGTTAGTATGTATGGGGGAATAAAAATGTAGATGAGCCTACTGCACGTGGTATTCCTAGCAGGTCTTCCATGCAAGTGCTAACCACGCCCGATGCAGCTTAACTTCAGCAATCGGACGAGAACTGGTGTATTCTGCAATGGTTTGGCAGTAGACTGAATGTTAGTTCGAATTGGATGTTATTTAATGCTTCGGCTAGGCAAAAAACGTTAGTATGTACGGTCGATAAAAATGTTGATGAACCTACTGCACATGGTATTCCCAGCCGGTCTTCCATGCAAGTGTAACCCGATTCCTAATCGAGTACAGGTGTTTATATGCAAATGTTGGGTTGCTTCGCCCCATGGTGCATTGCGCTCTCTGAATCCCTTTGGACTTGTTGGTCGGTCACCATGTGGAGTGGTTGCCTGTCGCTTTTTGTGAGCCACGGAATTGTCTTGCCAGCAGTCGGTCCTTAAAGCTTGAAATAAGACTGTAATTTAAATTCAGTTGCAGAGTTGTCAGGCTATATTTTTGCGCTGTAAGGGGACGTGCCACGTAGGAGAAATCGGTAAACTTGGAACACGTATAATCAGGATCCCATAGTTAGCTACAAATAACCGTGCTGGATAACTACCTTGCTGTCGCAATTATTGCCAATATATGAAGAGATTATAGTGAACTGTAGTGATTTGTTAATTGTATTTTATATTATTGTTTAAATGCATCTGCGAACATGTCCTGCCTAACTAGTGTGATCAGCACTTAATCTATTCCTACCGGGGTGTACCTGTGTGCATATTACCACAAGTCAGGTGCCACTGTGTTGCATATTGTTGTATAATAGTCTATTGCCATTATTGGTTGTTCCATTATCGTGCATACGTTACACAGGTGAGAGTGTACCTGAAGTATTCAGTGAAAAATTGGGTTGATTGGATTGGGTTGAGTGGACCTCGTTTTGTTACAATTAGTCGGTACATTCTCCTTAGGTGACGTATACTCGGCATGGACGTGACTGACTTTAGAGTTTATAATTTTGTGTTAGTAATTATTAAATAAGTTGTTGTGAATGATAATAAGTGTGGTGACCATCATTTGGTATAGCGTACCTGGGCCCTGTGTTAAAGGCCGGTTACATAAGTACTAACCACGCCCGATGCAGCTTAACTTCAGTGATCGGACGAGAACTGGTGCATTCTGCAATGGTTTGGCAGTAGGCTTAATATTCGTCGGAATTTGATGTCATTTAATGCTTCGGCTAGGAAAAAAATCCCGGGAAAAAGTTAGCATGTACGGTGATATAAAAATGTTGATGAGCCTACTGCACATGGTATTCCCAGCCGTTCTCCCATGCAAGTACTGACCACGCCCGATGCAGCTTAACTTCGGTGATCAGACGAGAACTGGTGTATTCTGCAATCGTTTGGCAGATGGCTGAATGTTAGTCGGGAATGGATGTCATTTAATGCTTCAGCTAGACAAAAACCTCGGAAAAAATTTAGTATATACGGTGTAATAAAAATGTTGATGAGCCTACTGCACGTGGTATTCCCAGCCGGTCTCCCATGCAAGTACTAACCACGCCCGATGCAGCTTAACTTCTGTGTTCGGATGAGAACTTGTGTATTCTGCAATTGTTCGGCAGTAGGCTGAATATTCGTAGGAATTGGATGTCATTTAATGCTTAAGCTAGGCAAAAAATGCCGGGAATTTTTAGTATGTACGGTGATATAAAATTGTTGATGAGCCTACTGCAAGTGGTATTCCCAGCCTGTCTCCCATGCAAGTACTAACCACGCCCGATGCAGCTTAAATTCTGTGTTCGGATGAGAACTGGTGTATTCTGCAATGGTTTGGCAGTAGGCTGAATATTCTTCGGAATTGGATGTCATTTAATGCTTCGGCTAGATAAAAAATCCAGCGAAAAAGTTAGTATGTATGGTGATATAACAATGTTGATGAGCCTAATGCACGTGATATGCCCAGCGGTTCCCCCATGCAAGTACTAACCACGCCCGATGCAGCTTAAATTCTGTGTTCGGATGAGAACTGGTGTATTCTGCAATGGTTTGGCAGTAGGCTTAATATTCGTTGGAATTGGATGTCATTTAATGCTTCGGCTCGGCAAAAAATCCCGGGAAAAAGTTAGTATGTACGGTGGAATAAAAATGATGATGAGCCTACTGCACATGGTATTCCCAGCCGGTCATCCATGCAAGTATCATGATTTATATTTCGGGTTAATGGTGGTTGCCATGACATCTACTGATAAAGGTTAAATGATGAGGCCAGATGGCAGGACTGGTTGAGATCCGTCGACACGTTCTCATGAGCTTGCGATTTCAAGCTTATGCAGTATCTTGGTCTTAGTCCAGAACTAATGATGTATATTGATGTCAACTGTGTAATGTTATTGCTAAA